AATCTCTTCTTTGAACAGATTTATAAAACCTTGAACGTCTATGTGACATTGGTTGGCCTTGAAATATGGACAAATGGAGATAAAATACAATTAGATTCAAACATAGAAACTACCTTATTGCATTTTTCAACTTGGCAAGAAACAGTCCTTAAAACAAGGAAGAATTTTGATCATGTTTTATTACTCAGGTACGTGGCTACTCTCTTTTTCTGCATAACTTAAGTGGATTATTAAGTAAAGAAAACAAAATAAATGAACAACAAAAACTTCTTAAAGCAATTGACTTTTGGGTAGTACATAGGGACAAAATGTTATTTCCAGCTTTACAGAAAATTTCCAAGTGGACTACTTAATAATCTTTCTTTCTAATATTGATTAATACTAAAAAGGAAAACTCTGATATATTCACATTCTTTGGCAGAGTTGAAAATACCATTAGGTAAGTGAAGTACTTTTAGAATCCATTTTTATTACAAATCAGCATCCAATGCTGACTCCCCTTGCCCTTCCACGCCATGCCATTCCAGTATTCCACCAAAACCTGCATTTCTGGGAAAGCACCTTACTCTCCTGGCATTTTTCCTCATCAAAGTGTCCCCATCCAGTGACCAGCCCTTCAAGACCATCTTCTTGACTATACAAGTAGACAGATAATCTGATAAGTGAAACCTGCCATAGATTTAATATTGCTAAGTAAACGTGTAAATTTGTGTAGACTGCTCAATCATTACTTTCTTAAAAATGGGGTCCATTTTTGTCATTTTTATTATTTAAAATATCTAGCCATAGTACTTAGCCCAGAGAAAATGATAAATATTTATGGAACTGAACTTAATCCAAACTGGTGTTTGATACAGTTCTGTTATCCTAAGGAATACTAAATTGTGGAAGAACTACATTGGAACAATGGCATCATTTAGCGCATCTTCTAATGCCCTTAAAACTGCTATATTAGAGTGGTATCCACTTTACCTACTTTATCTACTTATATCGGTATTTCTTCTAAGGTCAGCAAACACAGCCTGATAATCTTTTTTTCTAATAAACTCGCCCAACTCTAAATGCTGTTCTTGAAATCAAATCAAATTTGGACTCCTATAATATATCTACATTTGTCTTTTTTGGTACAATACAATGATAGTCCTCTTTTTACATGACAAGTCTTTTAAATGTTTGATGGTGGCTATCAAATC